GGACGATGGCGTCCAGCGGGACGAGAGGCGAGCCGGCATAGCGACGAGGGAAATCCGCGGAAAGAGGACGAGAAACGTGCCAGGGGGTTGGAGAGAGGAGGACAGAAAGTCGGCGCACGGAACGCGCGAGGAGAGTGCGAACCCACCCACCGGCCAGGCGCGGCGTATCCAGCTGGCTCTCCCACGCATTCTCGGCCAACTGACATCTTCATCATCCACCGGTCGGACTCGCGTAGTAACGGAATTAAAATTCTCGCCTACCAACCGCGCCAGCTCCTGGAGCGGCTTCCCTCAACTTTTTGGAAGCCACTCGATTCTCCCGTATCCGGACGCATTCTCGCGCGAATTTCAACGCCGCCAAGACGGAACGAGACTGTTTAAGAACAGGACTACACGGTCGTTTCACGCGTCGCGTCTTAATACAATTGATTACACGGTCTATTCTAGACCTATTCCTCGATACGATCCACATCTTTTGTAATTTTTTCAATAGCTTCATCCGGATTATTATTACGTGTCGTGCCTCCCGCGCTCGTTAACAGGAGGATACGCTCAACCTGTACCTATCTCACAAATACTCGACAGATCATCCATTTCTAATAATGATTCTCAAAATGAACATCGTCCCGGGATTGGCATGCTCATCTTTTGTACAGTGGTTTTTGCTCGTATTGTTTTTTAAATGTCGTCTTTCATGCTTCACTGGCTCCAAAGGGGGATTCCCCCGATTTGGAGGGGCAGAAATGTTCAAATTAAGGTTCACGTCTGGGGTTCGTTTTAAGAATCATTACTGTGTACACTCCTCAACCGACCATTGAATGTCCTGCTAGGGTTGCTTTATCGATGGAGTCCACTAGCAGACACAGGACAAAACGCTCCCCTACATCTTCCTACAATAGCTAGCCCCACCACAATTATTGCATAGAAGGAATAAAACAGATTTGCTATCGAGTGGGGCTGGGTCCGGTACAAATGTCTACTCCGTTGCGTTAGCTCTCGTTTTCGAAAGATAGGTCGACGCGAGTGCTCGAATAGCGAACTATAGGAAAAATTACTAAAGTGGAGACCCCAGAAGGATACCGCTGTTCGAGTCCAGCGGGAATGCTCGCTGGCGAAGGTATCGAGGACATAAAGAGATCAGTGGTAGTAGAGGTACACAGTCGCTGGAAGGAACGAGCGCGAGGGTAAAAGGAAGCGATCCCGTCGTTGGCGTAGATAGTGGCTAAAAGTCTTTATATCTTGCCTCGGCGCAGATAAAGAACGGAAAACGCCGGAATGCTTACGCGAACTCGAATTTGCCGAAGGAAGAGAAAGAGAGAGACAGAGAGCTACGAAAAGCGGTCAACTAGAGGGGAAGCCATTTGTAAAAAAAAGAAGCAAGAGGAATTCGAGCCGCGGACGAAAGGAACGGGACGACCAGAAGGATTTACACGGGGTCGAGTTCGTCGAAGGGTGGGTGGGATCCCCGAAGTATCACGGATTTCGAAAGTCCGTCGGTGTCGTCAAAGCTCACGGCTTGGTCCACAGCGGTTCTCATCTAGAAATTATCCCTGACCCGTGTTCAAACAACAAGCCACGCTCGAACGACTTTCGACGCCCGCGAGTCCTGAGATCGCGATAAGTTTACGGGGACCTGAACCCGTTTATTTCGAGCGTCGAACGTTTTTTGCTCGGCATCGCGTTGTCGTGAATCCACGCGGACGAAAGCGTTTTCACACTGTGCGCGAGTCAACGGACGAGGAAACGAGCGCAAGAGGGAAAAGAGAAAAGCGACGGACAGAGGGTAAGCCACGGGCCAATGGAGAACGCGAAAAAAAGGAGGGATAGACGAGGAGAGAAGAAGACAAGGGCTCGTTTCTTTAAAGCGAGGGTTACTTTCAGGACCATTCGAGAATCGGTAGCCTCCTCGCCGATGCTTTATTTTATCCTCTCCGCTCCATAAGATCGCATTCTTTACGACCCATTAGACGAATTCATTACCAGCCCCGGGCAATAGGTAGGTGAGGTTCGTAAGTCCTCTTTCCTTCCTTCTTTCCTTTCGCCCCTCTTCGTCATCCCGCTTCTTTGCTCTTCCTGTCCCATCTGTCGCGCGTTTCTCCTCCCCCCTTGGATACGTCCATCCTCCAGCGTCCGTTTTCCGGTATCCAACGTTGCTTTGCTCCTGTTGCCTTTTCGACCTGTCGTGGTAACGCAGTCTCGCCTGTATGATTACAACAATTTATAAAGCTTTTTACTTCAATTTGTACATTGGTTATATTATGCACGCCTGAAGGTGACCAGCAAATGGTTGGAAACATTTGTGTAACGTTAACGTGGCAGTTGAATAATACGGATTTGATTACGCAGAAAGTTAGGAAATCGTTTCTTTCACGATACTCGCTAATGTGTAATGCAAAACTCTTGTCTAAGTTTCGTCTACTGTGTTCAACGGTTCTATTCTGTTCTTAAAATCGTCCTGAGTGCACAAAAGCACAGATCGATTCTTTAGTTTGTTACTGTTGACACATTTACTATTATATCTTGACAAATACCTAACAGGGACAAGGTTCAACAAACTAATACTGTTTTACAACTTAACCCATAGCAAACAAAAATTATATCTCTGAGTACATACCTGTGCAATGGATAATCCCCTCATTAATTCCCCCTATCAACGTGTTATTTAATTTTATATTTTATTCGTATATCATTTGTAGAATTACAGTTTTAAAAACGTTCAAAGAGGCGTGAAAAAAATAAATATATTCATACATCTATTCCTCGCGTCAAGTAAAAGAAAGAAATGAAAATTCTCTTTTGAAAAAGTAAAAAATCATTACCTTCAGCTTGTCCAGATTAGCGATCTATTCGTTGGATCGTTGACTCGCGTACTCGTTCATCCATAGATGGGTATAGTTACGATTCCCTGGTTTGCGAACAGAATCCGACGACTCGAAGTTGTTATTAATACTTAATTATTTGCGGCGAACAAAGTGAAGAGGAAGAAAAAATTCGATACGCGAAATTGGAAATTTTGTGACCGAGACGGAATGATCGCAGAATCGCTGGTAACCAAGATAGTGCAGAGGCGCAAATAGAGGATCGGGAACAAGGGACAGAAGATGGGAGACGGGAGACGGCCTTGGTGGAGATCGTATCTCGCGTAATGCAGTTCCCGGTTTATCTAGTTTATCCGCTAGTCCTGACTATTCTTCGACGATATTCTACGCGAGCCAGTGACCACGATACCGTCACGTACGTATATTCGAACCGATACCGAGCCCTATCGAGTTAACAACGCCACCCCTTTTCTTGACATACGATCGACCGGTACTTTAGTTCGGGTAAAGTGAACGAACGCACACTGTTATACTTTATAACATATATATTTATTTGAGCTTTAATTGCATTTTAAAATACAACCGAAATAATTAAATAATGACAAATCTGGTAAAATGGTTTCAAGAGTCGCGTATACATGATGCATATCTTTGTGGTTGCGCATTTGTAAGTAGGTAGGTACTTTTCGAGCGTATTTTTCGCACGGTTGGCCATCCACGTTTTCGTATCTTTATTTATTTTTTTTTTTTTCGTTTTCTCTCGTTTCCGCGAGTGTGTACACATGCCGCGTTTATCTTGTGCGCGTAATGTCGTTCTTCGCGTCCACGTGGACCTCGTGTGTCCCGCCTTCGCCCCACTCTCAGCAATCGTATATAATTACAATAATAATATTAATATTATCGTTATATCGATAAATACTTTTAAAGTCCGCGATGGAAGAATTAGAGTTTACAAGAAATACGTATACAAGTGTGTTCCGCTCCAGATTTCAGGGGTTCCTCGTCCTCGAACGCGCGCAGTCATCGTCCCTTCGACCTATTTCCTCTCGCTCGACTCCCGACGCTTTCTGTTCGCGCTCTCGCACTTCCGATCCATTCCCTCGTGCAACAGATCCTCGCCCCGTGCATTCGCTCCATGCGCATCTTTTTTCCTTCATTCTCGTTCCTGCGTCGTGTCTCTTCTACGCTATCGCTCGACAACAACAACTCTTAATCATACTTTCGATCGTCACATGCACTCGCACACGCACACACGGTCAAACGACGCACACACGTACACACACGGACGGACGGACGGACGTACGCACGCACGCAGATACAAGATTATTCGGTCCGATGATTGTTCGGGGCCCCGACACGCACGCTCGCACGCTGGAACACGATCGGTTTTCCGACACGCGCCGCCATTCCAAAAATTTGTCGCTCGCACTTTTTCGTCTGCTCTCTTTTATAATATAGAATAATCGTAATTGTAATCAATATACATGGTACTCGCGATAATTCGAGCGATAATAATGATAGTTATTTTTACACTTAAAATGTCGCGTTTGCTCGCACGGCGCAATAAATAGTATTTTGAACAAAGAAAATTTACAATGGTCTACTCGCACGCTACGAGTGAAGGAAAACGATATTTTTTTTTTATCGAGGACGTCGCCGCGTAGCGAGCGCACTCTCTCTCTCTCTCTCTCTCTCTCTCGTACTCGTCCCGCGCGCGTTTCGAGCAACCGCGAGCCTCGCTATTGCACCGTATCTCGTAATTGCTTCTCCGCGTTCTCTACGCCCGATTCTTTAACGCTCGTTAACCCATTCGTTCGGTAATCGTAGAATTTCGAGGAGGTTCGACCTCGAACGATCTCACCGGTTTCGTAGCAATAAGTATCAACAAAGAGATTCCTATACAGGGGCAGACCCTAGCCTAACCTATGCGCTAATCAACTACGCTCTTACGTTCTAGAGGTATACATGATGATCCGACCTTACGACAGCCGTGATAGGGTAAGCTTTCCTCTCTTTCGCGTAAGAAAACTCCCAATTATTCTCCGTTCTTTTTCTCTCCCTTCTTCTCATACCCTCTACCCCCACCCTAACCCCAAATTGCATTCTCATCAGTCTCTCCCGTACTCTCTCTCTCTCTCTCTCTCTCTCTCTCTCTCTCTCTCTCTCTCTCTCTCTCTCTCTCTCTCTCGTTCATAACGCCTCTCATCGCCGGTCGTAAATGTCCTTAAATATTTATAAAATCACAAACTTGGCCGCGCGCCGAGCCCCTTGACTCAGCAGTGCCGCGAGATATGGTGGCATCACAATTTAATTAACGCACGTTCGACATCCACCTCCTCGTCGGATGTATCGGCTATCTTTCTACGCCCGCGTTGCTCGACTATCCAGCGACAAGTTCCGTTATCATGGTGTGCGGCGGCCTGAGGATGAGAACCGAGCGATGACGAAGCGAAATGAGATTCTAAGATTCGAAGGCGCGAGGACAAGGATCGGCTAGGAGAGAGACGAAGAGTGTCGATATAGGAAGAAGACGGGTGAGACGCGGCCACGACGCGGCCACGACGCGGAAGCCTTGCCCGGATAACGAAAATTCGCGAACGAACAGATAGACAGTCGAGGCGGAGGTTCGAAGGTCGAAAGGTTTTCTCGAACCGGTGGTCGCTAGTTTTACAGTCGTTACAGTATAGATACACTTATGTACAAGTGGCACCGCTACTTACGGGGCTCGGACTATACGTATTTGCTGGACAATTGTTTGGCCAGCTCCGTATACTTGAGAAATTTCGAGTGCGGGCTCTCCTCGAGGGGAGAGGCCGCTGACTGAGACGGGCTGCCGTTCGCCTGCGGAAGCGGCGGCGACTTGTTGCGCTGGGACGTGGGGGGCGAGGAAGAACTGTGACCGGTCGGCGGTCCCGCGGTGGCGTTTTGAGAGACCGCGGCCGCAGCAGCCGCAGCAGCAGCGGCGGCCGCAGCCGATCGGCCGATGGTCAAGGGGTCCGGGATCACGCCGTCTTTGACGAAGTGCATTTTCGACAGGTGGTGCCTGTACGCGCCCTTCGAAATGAACGGCGTGTCGCAGAAGGCGCATTTCATGATCGAATCCGCGGTGACGACGGCGTCGTTGCAGGCCCAGCTGAACGCCAGAATCGCGCCTGGGGCAGTTCCGGATCCAGGTCCACCACCCGAGCCAACCCCGCTCCCGGTGGCCGTACCGTGGCTCGACGTCGACCCGGGACCACCGCCAGACCTGGCAGCGCTGCCGCTTGGACCTCTTGTCTCCGTCTTGTCGCAGAGCTTTTGCAACGCGGCCAGCGGATGACTACTGGTCTTGCGCCCCTGCGAATCGACCGCGCTGCCCGTGCCGCCTCCACCTCCACCGCCGCCGCCCCCGCCGCTACCGCCGCCCGATAAACTGTCGAACATGGAGGATAGCGCGCCTAGACTGCTCGATCCCTTAGTGTCCGGCGTTCCGCGCGGGGTCACCGATCGGTCGCTGCTCGTCGGACTGCTCGTACTGTTTCTACACGGACTGCGTGCCAACTGTTCCATTTGCCCGGTCGACCTAGGAGTCGGTGGATTCACGCGCGGCGACATAACCTCCCGGCCCTCTTCCGAACCTTCGTGCAAACTACTCCGCCGATGGTTGAACGATCCCTGATCGTCCTCCTCTCTACAGTCCTCCATGATCTCTTTCTTCACGAACACGTCTCGGTTCGACTGAGACTGCGACTGCGGCGGTTGTTCCTCGTCGTTGGCGCCTCGTTCCTCGCTCTCCTCGTCCCTGGGCTCCTTTTTTACGACCACCGACGTCGACCCTCCCGCTGCCACCGTCGCTGACGCGGCGGCAGCCGTTGCGGACGCGATCGACTCCTCGTCGCCGGATTCTTCCGCGGTCGGGTGGTGACGTCCCGACGTCAAACCTTGCGGTGGCTGTTGCTTGTCGGGCGTGGCGCGATGGTGATGGGAATGCCTCTCCGAATGCCCGACCGAGGACAGTTCCAGACGCCTCTCGGGTGTCATGGAATCGGTTCTACCGCCGCTGCCCCGTTCCGATACGGAACTGGACTCGCTTCCGCTGCGTTCCCGGCGCACCGCCGTGCTCGCGGTGTAGTGCTGCTGTTGGTGGTGCTGCTGCTGCTGGTACGATCGCAGGAGGTTCATCGTTTGAGGATCCACCAACGGTTTCGTGTAGTCGACGCTCTCGTCGATACCTAATCGCTTCAAGATGCTGGTTCCCATCGGTGCGCCGGGTTGAGCGTGATGCAAGCCTGGCGTGCCGTGCCTGACGCGGGAGTCGAAGCTCTTCTCGATCAGTTTCTCGATGGCGTTTAAAACGGAAGGCGAAGAGCTACCAGTGGTTTCATTGGTGGTCGGTGTCGGAGTGTCCTTGCCCGGAGTGGTCGCGTCACTGGCCGAAGACGGCGACCGATGATGCCTAGACGACACTGGCGAACTGTCCTCGTTTACGCTTTTACGACCGCTTTCGGACGGCGGTAACGTCGCGGGCAAATGGTTCGACATCAGCGCGTTCTTCAGAAAGTTCCGTTGATTCGCGCTCACCGTCCCCGCGCCGATACACTGACGTATATGATCCACGAAGATGGTTGTCTCGATCTTTTCGCCGCATTTCTCGCAGGTTATTCTACCGGCGTGTTTCCCAAGGCTGTGGCTCAGACCCGCCGCGGCGTCGCCGTTTTTGAACTCGTTCTGCGCCCGCTCCAACTCCAGCAACTTCCTCACCGGCAGCGACTTCTTACGTTTCTCTCGCGTTTGTCGACGCCGTCCGCCGCTCTCGGTGATCGAACGCATTATGTGCTCTTTATAATGCGAGTTCTTCACCATGTGGTTGCTGAGCTCCTTCAACGAACTGAACGCCTGGTCGCAAACCTTGCAGGTCAGTACCGCGCTCACGTGGCTGCTGGTCGTCCCGGAACCCGGACCCGCGGTGTTCCCGCCGTGGGGGCCCGTGGTGCCACCCCCACCAGGGACCGTCGTTCCACTCCCCCCACCGGCTCCAGTCACAGCCCCTGCACCGCTACCGCCGCTTCCACCGCCGCCACCCTTGCTCTCGTCCGAGGATTTCCAAGAGATGATCTGCTCCTGCGAGATGATGTTGGTGTAATGTTGCGTTTGCTGCATGTGCGATGTCATCTCGGCCAAGGAACGAAAGCTCTGTCCGCACCACATGCACTTGAGAATCTGCCTGGTTTGTTCGGCCCCTTTGCCCAGCCACACGTCCTGCCCGCGTACCAGCTTCCGCGGCAGGGGCATCGTCTCCTTGATCAGCAAATTCAGTTCGGATGGACTTTGCTTGCTGCTAGGAGTCGCGGAACCACCGCTGCCGCCGCCGCCACCGCTGGACCCGCTGTTGCCCGACGACGTCGTCTGAGGTTGATGGGACTGCTGGGCCGTCGGAATGGTCGGAACGTTCGTCTGCTGGGGATGAAGCGCGGAACCAGCAGGCGGTACTGGCATGTTGACGCCGCAGTGTTTCGCCTCCCTCATGTGCGTCGTCAACGCCGCCAGCGTCGGAAAACTCTGCTTGCACCATACGCACTTGAGCACGTCTTTCGCCTGATCGGCTCCCTTGTTTTGCCAGTGCGACTGCCAGGCGTTGTGTCGGCTGCCGGTCGACGTCGAACCGGTCGCGTTGCTAGCGGCGGCCACGACTCCGCCCGGTCCACCGGCCGTCGCGCCCGACGACGACCTGAACAGATCCTCTCCGCCTAGTTTGCTCAATTCGCTCATCTTCTCCAACGCCTTGGTCGCCTCGCTCGGTTGGTACGATTTCTCCAGCGCGGACGGCGGCTTCATCTTGCCGTTCCAGAGCTGATGGTGATCCATCACGCCGGCGGTGCTCTTCGGCGAGAGCTGCTGCTGACTAGTGGCCGCTGCCGCGACCGCGGCGGCGAAGTAGGGAAAGTGCGAGGCTACCACGGGCGACGTCCACGGCGACACGACAGGCGGTCTGCCGAAACCGACGGCCGTCACAGCCTGCGCGGGATCCTGGTGGACCGTCGCAGTCGCCGCGGTCCCTGCTAACCTGGAGGATTTCCGCACAGGAGGCGGCGGGGAATCTTCCGGGCCCGGTCGCTTTCTGCTCGGCACCGACAGGTCCAGCGGCCCGTTGTTCGTTTCCGTCGAAGACGACGGGGTCGGTGGTTTGCTCAGGTTGAGTATTTGCTCGTCTTCGTCGTCCTCGATCGACGAAGCCTTCCTCGTGCTGAAGTCGAGGACCGCGGGCAAAGGTGTCGCTGACGGAGATACCTCGCCCACGCTGCTCGGGGAAACCAGCAGGCCAGGCGTAGCGGCTGGCGGCGAACACGAAGAGGAGACCAACGGCGACACCGAGCCCCGGGACAGAGGCGAGTGACCGAGCAGCAACCTCTGGTGGGTCTGTTGCAGATACGCCGCCATCATCGCCGCGGAATGAGGCGGTAAAAGAGGATGACCGCCGAGCGGAAGGGGCACGATGCCGCTCGGGCTCACAGGACTCGCGCTGCTCCTCGTTGCGGGCGGCGGTGGACTACCAGTCGCCGGTCCGGACGATTCCCGAGAATCTCTCGAGGGACAGCGCGGACTCATTGGTTCTCTGAAATCATACAAGAGAAGAGATCGTTACGTGATGCAAACAAGAACGCTCGATTATATTTAGTCGCGAACCCCTTTGCTACCGTGCACCGATATACTCGTTTTCTGTTAATCGATTGCGTTATTTTCATACATTCATTTTCCTTATCGATCTGTTTAAATAAACGGGAACTACCCTTTAATACATATTAAGTTACGAATGTTACAATGTTATATTAAAATGGCTCTATAGCTAAATCTAAAGGTGGTAGCATATTCTGTTGATGAGACAAGCAAAGAATAACGAAAAGTATTTGACTTTCCTTTTTAGAGCGTTCAACTAAATTCTGCCGAATAATCTGTGCAATTAAAATTTTGTACAGAACAATTAACTCTGCTAAAATTCTTCTACCGACGTGGCCTAATAATTCTAAGCCTATTCATGATTTAATACGAAGCATACTTGAGAAATCTATTTGAACGCTTACTAACCTATAGAAGAGTCTTTACAAATACAATATTCTTTAGTCTTGGAGACAATACCGAGTGCAGTATAAAAAGAAGATGTTACGGTCGTAGGCTCGGTGCCCTCGTCGTAAATCGTTTCCTTTAGCGTCGAACCCAAAGGAGAAGCGCGTTTAGGTGTGTTTAAGCTCGCACGGCAGATGCGAAGAGGATGCTCCAACGTACAGAAATTTCAAGCTCGATAGCGGTTTCTTTGGCACCCGACGAGCGACTTGGCGCCAGTTTGTCGCTTGTCGCGTTTGTTTTGACGTTGTCCAAGTTAGGTTGCTTGACCAGCAGCTCGTTCGCAACAAAAGGGTTGAAGATTGGGCCCGGATTGCCATCGATCCTGCGATCATTCGGCGAGAACGTTAATTTTACATTCACTGCGTGTCGTTGACTCAAGAGAAAAGACCAAATCTTCTACCTTTTTTTACAAAACTATCGTCGTTGGTTCGTGCGAGTCGCTTCGCTCGCAAAATGGAGCGACCGGTCGGTATACAGTGAAAATGTTAATTGACAGCCCGTTTCTGCGAGAACGGTCGACGCCTGAGCGCGGAACGTCGAAACTGCGTGTCGATCGCGACGAACAATTTGCACGGGCACTGTGTCACTGCGGCCGTCAGTCATCCGGCGATAATCGGAAAAGCCGATCTTGGATAATAGCGGTGGAAAAACCGCGTGGAATCGATACCTGTCGAAAGCTCGTTAACGCGTACTCGTCGCGAGCGGAGGCCTAGGAGCGCGTGGATCGGCGAGATCCTTCCATCCATGGGTGACAAATCGGTGGCGTGAGTGCGTGCGCGGGCACGGGCATGGGCACGGGGGTCACGGGCGCGGGTGCGGACTCGAACACAAACACGAGACGCGAATTTGAAATCGGGCGCGAGAGAACGAGCGAGAGGTTGCAGGCTTGTCGACGGCTCGCTCGTAACTGACTGCCTCTGACTGAATGCCGAATGCGTGCCGCGAGATGAAAGGGGAGCACCGGCACGCATGCAGGGGAAGTTTTCGGGGGCTGGGGGGGCGTAGCGGGGCGCGGGGGTCACGGAGGCGCCGTCGACGCAGCCCGCCACCGGCACGGCCGCTGCTGCCGCGGCCGCGGCCACCCCCGTGGCAAGCGGTGATGCGGCAAAACGGTACCGGAGCGGTGTCACCGACGGCGTTAGCGAGATCGGCCGCGCAGCCCGACGCGTAACACGTGCCTATCTCTATTAGCTCTGTGACGTCGCACGGCAGTCGCCGATATCAGTCTGGCACCGGCTTATTTATCCCTTCGTACACTCCCACCCCCTCGTACGCCTCTCTATTACTCGCGTTCTCTCCCTTTGCGCTTCCCTTCCCCCCGTCCTTCTCCTCCCTCCGCTGCGTCCCGCGTGTTTCCTTTCGCGGCCAGTTTAATAGCGTTTCGTCGCGTCTCTCGCTCGCCCGCCACGGATCCCTGACGATTCGTTGCGCTCAAACAACGAGAATACCCGTGTGTGTACACGAGGGACGCCCGAGGTCGGCGACTTCAAAACGAAACAGCAGCATCGTTCTCGTTGATTTAGGAGGTTTACGACGAGCGCCCTGGGTAAAGCACCGGCTAATGAGTTTGAAGCGGACCGCATTCGTCGAAATATACGCCCATACTTTCCGACGTTCGCGCCTCTCCCCGTTTCGCGTCTACGCGCAAAACGCTTCTACGAATCACAACTCGAACGCAATTTTTTCAGCTTCCTACGATTGGCATCGCTGGCCCATCGGAACGAAACTTGATGGCCGACAGCGAAAGGGACGATAAACCCAAAGTAGAGCCAGTGCAGCGTATTTCGAACGCTAGTTTGCTTAACCTTTAATCTTTAATTACTCGCATGGGGTCGTTGCAATTGCTTCTATTGTACGTGCAAATCGTGCTCGCTAATATCGTTTTCCGGTGTGGCTGCCTAAACCGATCTCCCTCTACGAGATTCAGTACTATTAGCTCAAATTGACGACGTGGAAATTTGTAATATAGTAGAGAACTTACACAATTTCTCAGTTTAAGGGATTTCCTAAAGGGTATAGCCGAATAAGGGGGTCAAATGTGCCCCCAAACCGAATGGAACGAGCCCGGGGTCATTCGATAGCAAAAAAAAAATAACCCATGTGTGCAAATTTTTAACTTGAAATCTCGACCGTGGGGGTAGTAATGGGGTGAAAACGAAAATCATGTTTTTGAATTATTTCTCTTGACCTATTGAGTAAAAAAATGTAAAAAAATTCAGAGACATTTCGGGTACCGGGGCACATACTTTGGGAGATTTTCAGATTTTTTGATTGAAGAACCAGGTAGTGAAAAATAAAAAACAGCAAAAAATGCCGAAAAATGCCGATTACGTATTGAAGGAGACCCGGAACTACTTTTATACTTTTACAGTAAACAGGTATTACTATTACTATTACTCTCAATTTTTTTCAGATTTTTCATTTTGGTGCGCCGCAGTGAAAAAAAATAAAAACCGAGTTTTTCCTCATTTTCTGCGTATTAGAGTAACTTACACGTTGAATTTTTATGCATCCTTCAATATATAAGTGTTTTGTAGACTGTTTAATGTTTCTACACTAAGCAGAATTACATAACAATTGAAACAAATAAAATAAAGCCAACCGTGAGCGCAATATATCCTAGAAAATCAACGATATTTTCAACGGCGTCGATGGCGCAGTTGTTAGAGTGTCCGACTGCTGAACCGCTGCAAGTTTTTTTACCATAGGTTCGAGTCTCTCTTCTGGACTTAGGATTTTTTTTCCTTCATTATTTTTTTTTTCAAATTCTAACTATATAACAATGCTTTATATTTATTTATAAATGTTCTGATAGCATTTTACAAATATTTTAACCTGAAATATGTATAAATATAGTCTTGGAGTGTTTTTTGCGTTTTTATTTTTTTTGTCAACCACGATTATTGTTTAACATCTCTTACACTGAAATTAATGTGAAATGTTAGTTTTCAAATCTCTTACCTTTGACTATTGTGAATGGATCGGAGCAGAAGATTGTATATTGGCTTACTATTACTTCTTCTCGCCCTTCGATCAAGCAGATCTTTCCTTCTTTTTCTCTTTCTGTGATAAATATGAATGTTTGCTACGGCTTTAGTATCTAACGTAGACATGTAAGGGTTATTATCCTTTCCTTACTGCTGGTTTTAAAGATAATGGAAACAATTGCAGGACCAACCTCTACGGACCATGCCAAGTAATTATGTATAAATCCCATCGCATACAGTAGCATGAACTGAGTAATTAAAAAATACATTGTGAAACCCGAACGCGACAATCACCCATTGACCTGAACGGTCTGGGCCCTCACCCAACGAATCTTTATTTCCTTCGTAACGCAGGTAGGACAATTAATCATTTTTGCCCGTGGTTTCCATCGAGCAATGATACTTCATTCAAAAATAAGCATGAAACGATCAAACTGGTACTTAAAAATGGGTTTATTAGAAAAAAATATCATTGGCAGAGAGTGGGTTAATAGATTTGGCGTGGAATGGCCCTTACATGTCTACGTTAGATACTGAAGCCGTAGCAAACATTCATATTTATCAAAGAAAGAGAAAAAGAAGGAAAGATCTGCTTGATCGAAGGGCGAGAAGAAGTAATAGTAAGCCAATATACAATCTTCTGCGCCGATCCATTCACAATAGTCAAAGGTAAGAGATTTGAAAACTAACATTTCACATTAATTTCAGTGTAAGAGATGTTAAACAATAATCGTGGTTGACAAAAAAAATAAAAACGCAAAAAACACTCCAAAACTATATTTATACATATTTCAGGTTAAAATATTTGTAAAATGCTTTCAGAACATTTATAAATAAATATAAAGCATTGTTATATAGTTAGAATTTGAAAAAAAAAATAATGAAGGAAAAAAAATCCTAAGTCCAGAAGAGAGACTCGAACCTATGGTAAAAAAACTTGCAGCGGTTCAGCAGTCGGACACTCTAACAACTGCGCCATCGACACCGTTGAAAATATCGTTGATTTTCTAGGATATATTGCGCTCAACGGTTGGCTTTATTTTATTTGTTTCAATTGTTATGTAATTCTGCTTAGTGTAGAAACATTAAACAGTCTACAAAACACTTATATATTGAAGGACGCATAAAAATTCAACGTGTAAGTTACTCTAATACGCAGAAAATGAGGAAAAATTCGGTTTTTATTTTTTTTCACTGCGGCGCACCAAAATGAAAAATCTGAAAAAAATTGAGAGTAATAGTAATAGTAATACCTGTTTACTATAAAAGTATAAAAGTAGTTCCGGGCCTCCTTCAATACGTAATCGGCATTTTTCGGCATTTTTTGCTGTTTTTTATTTTTCACTACCTGGTTCTTCAATCAAAAAATCTGAAAATCTCCCAAAGTATGTGCCCCGGTACCCGAAATGTCTCTGAATTTTTTTACATTTTTTTACTCAATAGGTCAAGAGAAATAATTCAAAAACATGATTTTCGTTTTCACCCCATTACTACCCCCACGGTCGAGATTTCAAGTTAAAAATTTGCACACATGGGTTATTTTTTTTTTGCTATCGAATGACCCCGGGCTCGTTCCATTCGGTTTGGGGGCACATTTGACCCCCTTATTCGGCTATACCCTTTGATGCAACATTAACGATTTACAGAACAAAACACTCGATTACTTTAATAAACAGTTAATTCTAAATCAAATTTCGTATCGTCGTATTTAACTCCATGCGAACAATTGTTTAAAAAACGGGATGCGTCTAATTAAGAGTTAAGAACAATTTTTACCTGTCCGGAGGTCCCGTGTCCCTCAAAATCGTGGGATTCAATCTCGCGGTAGCGGAAGGCGGTGGCGTAGGCGGCGTTGCATCCTCGTCGTCCTCTTCATCGGTTGCGTCGCCATCCTCTTCTTCTTTGGTTGCAGCCGCACAACCCCGCTCGCTAGGGCTAATTGGGCCGTCATCCTCCACGCAATCGCCTTCCTCCCCTTGGAGGTCCGTGCCAGGCCCTGAGCCTTCGACTCCGTCCTCCCCTGGAACGAAAAATCCAACGATCCTTTAAGTTTGTAAGAAAATTTATCCAAATTGGCAGTTAACCGAACGTTAACCCTTTAGCACCCGATAGGACATTTTTGTCCACTAATTTAGAAGCCTTCGCGGAAGATCGATAATTGATAAATTAGGTATACAAACCAGTTTAGTTACCATGAATTTTTTGGCTCGTATCTTTTTAGAAGATTTTTAAGTTAGCTACTTATTTTTTTTTTTTGTCAATAATGCACCTTTGGTGTTAAAGGGTTAATTTATCGTACAATGTTTTTCTACAAAAATAATAGATGCCATAGATGTAACGTTAACATAACATTTTGATACTTAAATAGTTATAATCAATTACAATCACAGTTCTAAATATAATTTATACGATATACCGAGATTATAAATAAATTTCAGACTCTGCATTCGCCTTTAATGTGCCAGTATAAAGTTAACTAGAAAATATACAAAATCATTATTGTGAATTTAGTAAGAATAATTTCCCAATAATTTTCCATGTAATCTATTATATTTTATGTTATCGTAGCAGAATAATGGAGTGCAAGGAATTATTGCTTGCATGCACGTATTAGCTCTAGATTTAAATTATGATGCTTTTGATAATTGTTAAAATAGGTGGAAGATATTTAATGTTAATTATGTACTGCATGTACTGCACGATTGAAAAGCATAGAGTTACTAAATGTTCGAGTTTGTTAAACGATTAACTATCAAATATTGTTTACAAGGGTACAACAACGATAATTAAAACATTACTTTTACGTATTTTAATAACTCATTTATCGAAAATCATTAGCGTGAGCAAGCTTTTGCCGCTAAATTACGTTGTCGAATGTAATTTAATTGTCACTTGACAAGTTTTCCTTTTTGTATAAAATAATTCTCTAATTGAAAATCAAACATGCCCAATTCCAATGGAACTATCTATTTTACATTTTGCGTAGCATAGCTCGAGTGAGATGTGTTAGTGAACTCCAACTATGTGAAATCCAGTTACATATACGAAGGTCTACCCTATAAAAATTATTTACACCCCTTTACTTTGCTGGCTACTTTATAATTTATTTTACGATCGATCGTGTTGAGTCTGGGACCGCTAGAAGCAATGAAAAGCAAACTGACGACCAATCATCGAACAGACGGACGATCGAGCGGATGAAAACGGGTGCGCGACAAAACAGGGAGAAACGAAGAAGGAAGAGTGGGAACGAAGCCATGGGGTCTGAGAGGGAGAATTTGGAAACGACGCCGTCAAGAATAGAGGAACGACGCAAAGAGCCACGGATGCCGAGCAAAACAATAGCGCTATCTGTTCATTTATCAGCCTTTCGCGGTGGCGGTAACGACGACGCCGACGACGCCGACGACGCCGACGACGACGACGACGACGACGACGACGACGACGACGACGGCGGCTGTGTCGATGTTGCGAACGACGCGTCGATGGCGAGGCTGCATTGGATGCGTCGAGCGAGATCACGGTGGGCCATTGTCGAGCCAGCCAGAGACTTCCGTTCCTCGTATTATGACTCTTAATCAAATCGTTTCTACATTTGAACCTACGATAACAAGGCACCGGAGTCGGCCATCGTATCGTCCTCGCCGTCGTAGCGTTTTGTCGAAGTAGGTTGCGCTCTTTTTGGTCTTCGTCGCACCCGGATAACGCTGCTGTCAGACTCTCTTCGACATCGGTTACCATTCTTCCATAGTCTTACTATTTTCATTACTTTTTGTACGCCCAATCCACCTCTGGCTATTAGACAATTGTGTTTAGATACAGTGCAGGGGCCAAATTTAACATCTTAGCAAATAGAAAACAGAGTTCAGCTTCGGGTATTCGGTTTCAGCGAGCGACGAGGAAAAATGTTTCCGCGTATGGGACGGATGTTTCGATCGAAGCGCGTTTCGGCGAAAGGGTTAACTTGTCGAGCCGCGCGAGGATGGTTCCGATACGCGAGGAGGATCGCCATCTTGTTCAGAAGTCACGCGTTCTCGTTCGAGAAGCCGAGGATGCCGATCTTAGGACCGAAGAAAGCGAAAGAGGCGGAAAGGAGCCTGCACACCTCCCTTTTGAGAGGGTGGGGACAACCAGGACGAAGAGCACCGTCCTACTTTGCCGACTGGCCAACCAAACGATCGTTTGTTCACCGATGGGCCGCGGAAGAAGGAGGGAAAGGAGATCGCGCATTGATCCGCGGAGGCATCGGCAACTAATTACGCAGATTTATGTCCCCATTGTCCATTGTCTCTCATCCGGAGCGGCCCTCCGAAGCCCTGCGCGACCGTGAACGATTCGATGGAAGAGCTGCTGCTGCCTGCCGCTGCCCAGCGATCCAGCCCGGGAACGGGAGGTGCTCCGACCAGGAACGACCAACGACCACGAAGACGACCACGTCGACGCCGAGAACGAGGAAGACGACAACAAACCTGGACAAAAGGAAGAGCTCGAGAATGGTCTGGAACCGAGCTCGTACCGAGAAGGGATACGCAAGAAGTCGAGAGACCAGGGCGGACCACCGGCGGACAGCTCCGCCCGCTTCGAACATCCTCGATCTCTTTTCCCTTCCGTTTCCTCTCGTTTCGCTTCGCTCCGCGTAAAAACAGACGTGTACTCTTTGCACCTTCCACTTTCTACCACCTCCACCCTTTCCCCTTTTTGCTTTTATCTTTTTATTTATATCGTAAGTAGCATTCATCGAGCCCTTCGATACAAAAATATTAATTACCAACCCCTTGCAACGCAAATTAGATTTTTCTCAAAAGATTTATACTTTGGGACCATACGCGAGTCTGCACAACTGACAAATTAACATTTTAATAGAGAAATTGTAGCAGATATTAATAGCAGATTTAAATCAGACTTTAGAACGTCGAGTAATGGGCATACGATTTCATAGATACACGGGGTTAAAAGGGGTTAACTGATAACCTCTTGGATCTGTATAGTACCGTCGATTTTCAAACGTGCCTATTCGATCGCAACCAACGCGTCTTCTTTTAGGAAAGCGATCGCGGATTTCTCGAATTTCCTGACATTGGCCTCTTGGTCCGCGAGCGTCCGGAGGCGGCTAGAGATCGGAGAAACGGTGGCGAAACGAACCAAAGAGAGGCCTCCGGATGGCTACTGATGGAATAGAATGCGAGTGGCTTGGCGCAAGCCTAAGATCGCGTATCCCCATTGGCGGACTGTTAACGAGGAGGCTAGCAGCGCAGGGTTGCATATTCAGACCTCGAGATAGATACGAGAGGAATAAGGAGCGTGGCGTACCGAGGTTGAAAGCGGCCAGTCCCTGACACCGACTCGAAGATCGCTGCTGCACGATATCCGCTCCTCCCGTGCTCTCGGTTTGGCCAAACGTTGCGCCTTACCAATCACTGGGATATATTAGCTACGTATCGGCGCTTTGCCCGTGAAACCGGACTCTACTACGTGCACGCGCGCGTACAAACCTCATCTCTCCTTCTAGCCTTAACCCTCTGCCCACCACAATCTTAGCCGTGTTTCTTTCGATCGTCCTCCTCCGCCGTGCCAATACACCATCGGTACACGATGCACAACAATAATTAGTCTTATCGGCGAATCCTCTCCTTCTCTTCCTCTTACCTTCCTTGCTCGACTTTTTCCACTCCTCGCCGTTCCTTTTCCTCCCCCGCTCGCATTCTCCAACCCCTCGACCCTGCGATCTTTTCTTCCCTTCCTGTCGGGCTTCCGCTAACCGTCCGATCGCACATACTTCTTTCGATAAATAAGTGGACCGAACTTCTGTTAACGGTATTTTAACCGTTATCTATTATACTAGTGGAAAATTTTAACAGAAACGTACAAGTTGGATCACAAGGATCGTCATAGATCGTCAGGAACTATATTTCTTAGAGTTTTATCACTAATTATAAATATTTATAGACATCTACTATTTGAATAAAGTCACACGAGATCGGAAATCCTCGTACTCGAATACAAAGGAGTCGATAAAGACGGGATAAACAACGATATGGCGATACGATATCTTAAGCACGTAATTCATCTCTCAACGCGACTCTTCATTATTTAATTATAAATGGAAACGTCTGTGTCGGACGGCCTTACGAACCTTTACTCGAAACGAGACTTCAGCAGTCCAGTAGACGAGTATTTGAGGAGTAAGAACGCTTCAGAGACGACCGATGGGATTTGAACGACGCACAGTGCGGTATTTGCCCGGAAAAGCCGGACTATCGCAAAGTTTACTTAATCTTACAGCTGCTATAACTTCGTCTGATTTTTATGAACAAATACACATTTTGCAGTTTGGGCATTCTACTTTCCAACGCATTAAACAACTATTAGGTACCGGAAAACACGTTCGTGCGATTAACTGGTACCAAATTTCATGCAATAATCGAGGTACTACTGTACGACCGTTGCTCCATTTTTTACAACGTCATTCCGGGTTATTTATCAGACGTATTGTGCATTCCTCTTACGCATCTTCAGAGGTCTGAATATGGCGATCCACCGTACGCGTACGTACACGTGTCAGTACATGGTACCGGTTAACTGGTATCACATACTCGTGCTCGGTACCAGCGGTGCCCCCGAGCCGCTCGACAGCCACATTGGTCACGCTTGCGACTCCCTCGGACGATGGGACGCAAAGATCGATGCTTTTTAATTGCCAAGAAGTTAGCTCGCCTCGACGTACCCACTGAATCGTGTGTACAACAGCAAAATGATTGGTATTTCAGTCGCTCTCGAGGTTACGAAACGATCCCAGAAGTTGACACACACTCGGAATCGAGCTGTGACAATACGTTCGTCCCAAATCCCCATTTCAAACGAAAGTTGCTATTGGCTGATATTTCTTTTTAATAAGTTATTCGGTGTGGCAATAGTTAAATTCATTTATATATTTGGTATTTAATACGTTTGCTGCAATGGCATTTTTCATGGACCTTCGTGTTCGAAGGCGTAGACCAGTTACAGTTATTTGTACTATAT